TGTGATTATGAAATATTTCATGTAATGGTCAAATGAGACAGACTTTACTCAGATAGTAAAGACATGGTCAGCTGTCTAAAAGCTCAGTTAGAAAATTCTCCATTCAAACAATCCGTTTTACAGTAACTTATTATTAAAAAACTTACTAGTATCTTCCACATGTAGTACTGTTTTGGACTTGGTTTGCCATAAAACTCATCAAGCGGGGGGCGGAGCAACATGGCGGCGAGGAGACGCTGCGAGTAAGATCTCCCATTAAAAAAAGTTAATAGGGAGGAAAAGCGGCAGGTCCCAGTGAGAAACGGGACACGGAAGATAAACGGACGACTCCAGCAAACTGCCGAAGAAGAAAGTTGCCAAAAAGAGGACCAGAAAGGGAGGGAAGCGCAGAACCCTGCTCCCTCCCCGCCCACAGAGAGGCGGCACTCTCCGACCGGCAGAGAGGAGAAAAACAACAAACTAAAACGACCCACAAGAACAAAGGACGCAGCAAGCGGGACTGTGAGTGGAAAGGAACTATTGCAGCCACCACACCCTGTGAACGGGAGCTGTGGAGAACCCCCGCAGGATCCGCCGCGGAGGTGAGCTCCGGGCGCCATTGCAGAGAAGCCCGCCAGGAGGAGCCCAGCACCAGCACACAGCCGGGCCGCCCGGTAAGCCTGCGCGGAAGCGGCGCGCCGGAAAAACAGACGCGGAGCGGGATTGCGCGGGAAAGCGGCGCGGATTGCGCGGGCGGATCGCAGCTGCCAGGTCCCCCGCGCCTGCGACCTAGGCTTGCGGGAGACGACCTAGGCTTGCGGGGAGACGCGCGGAGGCCCTCCCGGAGTGAGCAGAAACCAGGCGCCCAGGCAGGGGAGCGGGATTCAAAAGGCGCCATTCCCGCGCACTGATCTGGGCTACAGCCCGCGTCCTGGAACTGAGGGCTTTGGAACTGAGACCCGGGGCACGAAATTAGGGGCGTGGGTTCCCCACGACGGTGGGGCAACAAGGCAGACACAGCACCCAAAGCGTTGAGGTGTACCCTACCATCCCGCTCTGCTCCCTGTCCCACGGGGTGGAAAATCAGCTCCCCAAGGGCTCTAGGAGAGATCTCTGGCGCCACCTAGCGACTTGAAGCCAGCAGAGGCTCCTGAAGGAGATAGTGGCCAGCTGGGGAGTTAGCCCACGCCGGGCCCTTCCGACCAGTAGTCTGAGCCCACAGGGGGAGCGAGCACCCACAGCCGGGGCAGACCAGGCACGCAGAAGAGTGTGCTTGACACCGTACGCGCAGGGAGTGTGTCCCCACATCACCATTTTTGAACAGGGACATTTCTTCAGTAAAGACTACCTGCAGAAGGCTTCCTCAGGAGCCAGAGGTGAGCGGGGGAAGTTCGCCCATGCCAGACCCCTCTGGCCTGCAGTCCAAGCCCAGAGGGAGCAGGAACCCCCGCCGGGGCAGACCAGGCGCACAGGGGAGTGTGTCCCACATCGGCATTTTAGAACAGGGACCTTTCTCCAATAAAGACTGCTTGAAACTGACAGATGACTCCTGGAGGAACCAGAGGGGAGCAGAGAAGCCCACCCAAGATGCCGGCCAGTCCCAACTACACAGTGTCCCAACGCATACGGCAAATTAGAAAACAGACAGTAGGGAGGAGAAGAACCACACGCGCAACCTAGCAACTCTCCAGAGAAAAAGCACACCACAAAAAGAAAACCAGCCCCCAGATGGCAACGACAGTCACTTGGAAGAACTTCTGAGCCTTCCAGAAAGAGAATTTAAAATTGCCGTGATTAAAAAACTGACAGAAGTCATAAAGGAAAACAATGATAAGGGAAAAATAATCAACGATCAGAAGAATGAAATTGAGTCCCTAAAGAGGGAAGTAAAAGAAATGCAGGAGATCAAAGAATTAATGGAAGAACTAAAGAATTCTGGGAAAGCAATGAAAGCAGAATAGATGAAATGGAAGAACGAATAAGTACTCTTGAAGACACAGAAATAAAAAGAACCAAAACAGAAAAGGAAAGAGAAGTACGAAGGAAAAGAATGAAGAAAGACTTCGGGAACTATCTGACTCCATGAGGAAAGGAAATATAAGAGTTATAGGAATACCAGAAGGAGAGGAGAGAGAAGTAGGAACAGAGAAAATATTCAAAGAGATAATTGAAGAGAACTTCCAAATGTGAAGGAGGAGCTGAAAATTGATATACAAGAAGCAAGAAGAACACCAAACTTCCACGACGAAAGAAAAAATACAGCAAGACACATAATAGTAAGCTCCCAAGAATCCAGGACAAGGAAAAAATAATGAAGCTGGCAAGAGGGAAGAAACAGATAACATTCAAAGGAAAGCCAATCAGGCTGACATCAGACTTCTCCGAAGAAACACTACGGGCAAGGAGAGAGTGGAGGGACATAGTCAACAGACTCCAAGAAAACAGATGCCAACCAGAATACTCTATCCCGCAAAGCTCTCCTTCCTCTTTGAAGAAAGAATATGGACTTTCCCAGACAAACAGAAACTCCGGAATTTCATTGCAACTAAACCCCCACTCCCAAAAATACTACAAGGAGTCCTAAAGCCAGAACCTCAGAGGGACGAATAACAATGAAAGAAGGCCAAAAAAAAAAAAAAAGTTATTAAAAGAATAAATAAATAAATCAAAGGAAAGACAAACACAATGGCAAATACAGATGTTAACATATCAATATTAACTCTAAATGTAAATGGACTAAACTCTTCAATAAAAAGACACAGAGTTGCAGCCTGGATTAAGAAACAAAACCCAACCTTTTGCTGTCTCCAGGAAACACATTTAGCTACAAAAGATAAAAATAGGCTCAAAGTTAAAGGATGGAAAACAATCCTACAAGCAAATGGACCAAAAAAGAAAGCAGGAACAGCTATACTTATATCAGATAAACAGATTTCAAACTCAAAAAGATAAAAAGAGACCCCAATGGTCACTACATTATGATCAAGGGGACAATACTTCAAGAAGAAATAACACTCATTAACATATACTCACCAAACGAAGGAGCACCAAAATATATCAGACAACTGTTGTCCTCTCTGAAAACAGACATCAGAGAAAACACATACGTAGTGGGAGACTTCAACACACCACTATCAACAATGGATAGATCAACAAGACAAAAAATAAGTAAAGAAACCAAAGCTCTAAATAAGGACCTAGAGCAATTGGGCTTAACAGACATCTATAGAACACTAAACCCCAAAAAAACGGAGTACACATTTTTCTCAAGCGCACACGGATCATTCTCCAGGATCGATCACATACTGGGGCACAAGACAAACATCAACAGATACACCAAGATTGAAATCATATCAACCATCTTTTCTGACCATGAAGGCATCAAACTAGAAATAAACCATAAAAAGAAGGCAAGGAACTTTCCTACCTCATGGAGATTAAAAACCACACTACTGGAAGACCACTGGACTAATGAGGAGATCAAAGAAGAAATTAAAAAATTTTTTGAATTGAACGACAAGGAGGACACCAATATCCTAAATGTATGGGATGCAGCAAAAGCAGTAATAAGAGGAAAATATATAGCAATAGAAGCTCACATCAAGAAACAAGAAAGAGCTCAAAGAAACAACCTAATCTCGAAGCTCAAAGATCTAGAAAAAGAACAACAAAAAAACCCCAAAACCAGCAGAAGAAAAGAAATAATAAAACCAAAGCAGAAATAAATGAAATTGAAACTAAAAAAACAATCCAAAAGATCAATGAAACCAAGAGCTGGTTCTTTGAAAAAATCAATAAAATAGACAAACCCCTAGCCAGGCTCACAAAGGAAAAAAGGGAGAAAGCACAAATAAACAGGATCATCAATGAAAGAGGAGAAATCACAACGGACACAGCAGAAATCAAAAGAATAATCAGTAACTACTATGAACAGTTATATGGAAACAAGTTTAACAATCTAGAGGAGATGGACAAATTCCTACAACTCTACAATCACCCAAAGCTAGATAAAGAAGAAATAGAACACCTAAACAGACCAATTACAATTAGCGAAATTGAAATGGTAATCAAAAACCTCCCCAAAAACAAAAGCCCAGGACCTGATGGATTTACAAATGAATTCTACCAAACATTCAGAGACGAATTAGTGCCTATCCTTCACAAACTCTTCCAAAAAATTGAGAAGGAAGGGACAATACCAAACACGTTCTATGAAGCCAACATTACACTAATACCAAAACCGAACAAGGACAACACAAAAAAGGAAAACTACAGGCCAATCTCCCTAATGAACACTGATGCAAAAATCCTCAATAAAATTTTAGCCATCAGAATCCAACAATGTATCCATAAGATAATTCACCACGACCAAGTAGGATTCATTCCAGGGACACAAGGATGGTTTAACATCCGAAAATCAATCAACGTTATCCAACACATCAACAAAAAGAAATATAAAAACCATATGATAATATCAATAGATGCTGAGAAAGCTTTCGACAAAGTGCAACACCCATTCATGATAAAAGCCCTTGAAATTCTTGGGATACAAGGAACATACCTTAACATCATAAAGGCCATCTATGACAAGCCAACAGCCAGTATCATTCTCAATGGTGAAAAGCTGAAAGCAATTCCATTAAGATCTGGAACAAGACAAGGATGTCCACTCTCACCACTGCTTTTCAATATAATACTGGAAGTCCTAGCCAGGGCAATAAGACAAGAGAAAGACATCCAAGGAATCCAAATAGGAAAAGAAGAAGTCAAACTATCACTATTTGCAGACGATATGATATTATACATAGAGAACCCCAAAAACTCCACAGAAAAGCTAATTCAACTCATCAATCAGTTCAGTAAAGTGGCAGGATACAAAATCAACACGCAAAAGTCAGTAGCCTTCCTATACACAAACAATAAATCTGAAGAAGAAGAAATCAAAAAAACCATCCCTTTCGTTATTGAAACAAAAAAATCAAATATTTGGGAATAAATCTAACAAAAGAGGTAAAGGACCTATACAAAGAAAACTATAAAACACTGTTAAAAGAAATAGAAGAAGACACAAAGAAATGGAGAGATATCCCCTGCTCATGGATTGGAAGAATAAACATTATTAAAATGGCCATCCTTCCAAAAGCAATATACAGATTCAATGCTATTCCAATCAAAATTTCAATGTCATTCTTCAAAGAAATAGAACAATTATTGATGAAATTCATATGGAATCACAAAAAACCCCGAATAGCCAAAGCTCTCCTGAAAAAAAAAGAAGGGAATGGAGGCATCACACTCCCAGACTTCAAACTATACTACAAAGCCATAATCATCAAAACTGCATGGTATTGGAACAAGAACAGACATACAGACCAATGGAATCGAATAGAAAATCCAGAGATAAACCCACAGATTTATGGTCAACTAATCTTCGACAAAGGAGCAAAGACTATGCATTGGAGCAAAGAAAGTTTGTTCAATAAATGGTGCTGGGAAAACTGGGTCGCTACATGCAAAAGAAAGAAGCTTGACCACTACCTCACACCATACACAAAAATCAACTCAAAATGGATTAAAGAATTAGACATAAGACCTGAAACCATAAAATACATAGAAGGAAATATAGGCGAAACACTACGTGATTTGCACATCAAAGACATCTTTACAGACACATCACCCAAAGCAGTGATAGTGAAGGCAAAGATAAACAGCTGGGACTACATCAAATTAAAGAGCTTCTGCACAGCAAAAGAGACAATAACAAAAACAAAGAGAAACCCCACCAACTGGGAGAACATTTTTGCACCCAACACTAATGATAAAGGACTGATCACAAAATCTGCAAAGAGCTGATGAGACTCAACAACAACAAAGAAAATAATCCAGTCAAAAAATGGGCAGAAGAGCTAAAAAGAAACTTCTCTGAAGAGGAAATGCAAATGGCCAACAGGCATATGAAAAAATGTTCAACATCACTTGTCATCAGGGAAATGCAAATCAAAACTACCATGAGATACCATCTTACACCAGTGAGAATGGCACATATTAAAAAAACTAGCAACAACAAATGTTGGCGAGGGTGTGGAGAAAAAGGAACTCTTCTGCACTGTTGGTGGGAGTGCAAACTGGTCCAACCACTGTGGAAGCTGTGTGGAGATTTCTGGACCTACTAAACATAGAGCTTCCATATGATCCAGCAATTCCACTCCTAGGTATTTACCCAAAGGACACAGAAACATCAATTCCAAAGAACACCTGCACACCTAGGTTTATAGCAGCACTGTCTACAATAGCTAAGCTTTGGAAACAACCCAAATGCCCAAAAATCGATGACTGGATCAAGAAGATGTGGTACATATATACCATGGAATATTACTCAGCATTCAAAAAAGATAAACACATGCAATTTGCAGCAACATGGATGGCGCTGGAAGGGATCATGCTCAGCGAAATAAGCCAAAAAGAAAAAGAAAAATACCGGATGGTCTCACTCATAGCAGGAATCTAGAAAACTTAAATAAGGGACCAGGAGAATGAATAACTATAAGAAAGTGAAAATCAAAATCAACAAAAAACTATGAACCAGAGACACTTTTTGGGGGTGAGGGGCGGGAGGGGAGGAATTGGGTCAGAATGGGGGGCTGCAATTGTATGTGGAATATAAAAATAAAATTTATTATTTAAAAAAAAAAAAAACAACAAAAAAAAAAAACCTCATCAAGCAAATCTAAATGTAAGGGGATTGAGGCCCTGTCTCTTTTCCCACAGGGTACAGTATAGCTCCAAATCAGATTCTTCCTTTTTGCAAAAGAAGATAAATATTAAAAAGCAGACGTCTTGATGCTGTTCAAAGTCAGGTCTTGCATATTTTCTGAATTTTTTCTCTAAAACCACTGAAGAAGTACAAATGACAATGTGCTTGCTACCTACTAGCTTCCAGTTGAGAAGATATTGATGACAAGACCTCGTGTACTCAGTGTATTGTTAGGAAATCAGTCTGCATATATGTATTTAACAAATAAACATTTATGAAGTGAGGTGCCAAACATTTTTATTTCTGATGATTAAAGGGTATTTAATGAATTTTTAACAAGTGTCTACCGAAGTGATTTGATTTAACATTTGCAGCTCAAGGTGTTCATTAGCCCAAGAGCATATACTCTATAAAGCAGGGTGATTTTTATAAGAAATAATGTAAAAAAAAAGTTGGGTTTATTGAGGTCCAATTTACATACAATAAAATTCATCCTTTTCAGTACATACTTTTATAATTTCTGACATTCAGTCATGTAGCATTCCTACAATCAAGAAAAAAGACCCGTTCCATCACTTTCCATATTCCCTCATGCTTCAATTGAGTTAATCTTTTCTTACTGCCCCCCCACAATTACAATTTAATTTTTAATTAAAAAATGCATAGCAATGCCACTGACACTACTGAGGAATCTACTATTTGATCCTATAATTAAAAAACCATATGCTAGGGGCTAGGAAACTGGCTCACAGACAAAATTTGGACCGCTGTTTTTTGTAAACAAAGTTTTATTGGCACAGAGTCACACTTATTCTATCTACAACTGTCTTCATGCATGCCAACAGTTAAATAGCTGCCACAGATAACTGCAAATTCTAAAATACAGAAAAAATTTGCTGATTCCTGATGTAGACTATTGATTTTCCTTTTAGCAACTTTTCTGTTTTTCAAAATATGCTACCAATTCCCAAAGTACCTGTTTATAATAAGCTTCTAAGTTTCTTTTTTTGCCACGTCTCTGCTTGACTTGATGCTAATGTTGGACTTACTTGATGCTAATGTTGGACTCTAAAGGCAACAGATTTGATAACATTCCTGTGCCTCACTTTTTAAACAACTCAGTTGAACTGGTTTTGGTTTGTTAAATAACTGCTATATTGAGATAATGAAAGTAGTGTTATTTCTAAAATTCTACTGTGAGCCTTTTGAGTTTGATACAAACAATACTAGTTTACAATAAGTCAATTTACTGAGGGGATGCTTTCTTAAGGCATAATTTTGTTGCTTTCTGGGAATAGCAATGCATGCTGTGTCAGAGCCTGGAGAAAATCAAAACACCTCAGTGGCTACTGTTTTAACTTAGGGCAATGAAAAAGAATTGCTTTTTACCTGGCAAGGAATTGCACCGCCCCATTCTTGCTGAACGATATTGCAAACACCAACTAATGCAGACTCCAAGCAGGTTTTGTCATAATCATCCATATTACTTAGTGCTTCCTGATTGAACATAGGATAATATTGTTTATTATTCTTTTGTTTTAATTTGTTGTTAGAAAACAAGATAAATTGTTCAAAGCATGAATGTCACACAGGGGAACTTATACTTCTGAGTCAATAAATCCATAGCTTCTTAAAGAAATACAGTAAAGCAGATTTTCTCAACTGTAAAGGATAATTAAAGAGCTTCCCTTTATTCCATCCACATGAAATGTCCACCAAGCTCAGATGTTTATAGTGGACCTTGAAGGAAATAATTAAAATGAACTTTTAAACATATCACCAAAAAAAGGGGAAAATATGCTAAACACCATTCCAGGCATTTTACAACCATTTAATCATCACAATACCCTACATGGTTCATTAGCCTGTTTTTAAAATGAGGAAACTAAGGTATACAATGTTTAGGTAACTTTTCCAGGCCTCATAGTAAAGTCTAACTCCAGGACTTCTGGTCTTAACCAGTACTCTGCATTTCTCTAAATTTCAGAACTACTGAACATCAGAAATCCAGTGCAATTTTTTAAAACATTTTTTTCCTTATTTTCAGGAAGGAGATCTTTTTGCATAGAAGAACTGGGGTGTAGGCCAGAGGTATGGGGTGGGGGGTGAGAAGATTCACCAGAGGCAGAGTGGGGAGGAGAACAGGTGAATTTACTGAAATACACTGCTAGGGGAGCAGTGGGCAAGACAGGAGAGGTCAGCTGCACCATATGTGGATTAGCTCCCTGACTAGGGACTGAACTCAGGCTGTAGCAGTGATAGGGCTGAGACTTAAAGCCTAGGCCACCAGGGTCTAATCTCACTTTAAGAAAAGTGAGATTACTAAAAGGAATGATTTAACAAAATTGTATTACTTATACTACAAAAGCAACTACATTGACCCTGTATGTCTAAACAACCAACAATTATAAACTATTTAGTTTAATTCCATAAACACTATTGACTTCTCACTATGGGCAAGGCACTGTGGCAAACACTGTTATAAATATTAGTGATTTAGAGATGTTGTCAGAAAGGAAAAATTATCTGGCATTACACAGATAACACTTTTGGAAGATAACACCTATCAATCAAGGTTTAAAAATTACAATTCCTTGGTGTAGGGTAAGTAAAGTATCAGGTTTTTCTGCCCTTCTGACATTAGATTAAATGCATGCCTGATGGCGGACAACTGGAGTAGGGTGTGGGCATGTGTAGGTGGGATACACCTGGGCTAAGACGGGGCCTATAAGGGCAGCATCACGGAGATGCCAGCAGAGTGAAAGAGAGAAGAAGGAGGACGAGACCACAAGAGAATGCCAGAGAGCCCAGAAAGAGTGAAGATTTGCTGGGGGCTAGGAGGCCTGCCAGCCTTCTGGCCCCCCCCTGGCACCCTTGCCTGCTATGTACCTGGTAAAATCTCAATAAAGCCTGAAAAAGCCACCTAGGGCTCCTGGACTCCTACTTCACCCAGCCACTCGATCACAGAGATCCTGCACTGTCCCATCCTGCCTCTACTCTTGGCACATATAAATCAAAGATTATTTGTTGGAGAAGGAATATAATTTTGAATTGCTCTAGAATAAGGGCTTTTGTAAGGAATGGCAATTTTTCATTTCGAGTTTTTATGGAAGAATAGAAAAGAGTAAAATGTTTAACTTAAAGGCCCTGAACTTTAAGGAATGGGGGAATACATCCTGAGATGCATCCCTGTCCACAAAGAATTCGAGAAAACCAAAAGAATAAGGCAAACGCTCACAGCTAACTCAAGCTCTACCAAAGCCATAAGCCCAACAGTTGTGAATCCTTGTTTTATAGCTATACTTAGATATTATTAAGTACTCAGATATTTAACATTAAATAATTCCAAGTTCTAAATATTCAGTGTAATATGAGACTACTGTTTTAATCCTTATAAATTTGGGCCCAGTATAAACAATAACATTCCTTTTTGTACCTGTAGGGTGTTATAATCTCTTGTGAAGGGAACCATCAGCTCCCAGAGTGATGAAAAAACCACCAGAGCTGTAAATTCAAGCTTGTAATTTGTGGCCATGTGCTCAAAAAGCATGGTCAAACCATGGGCTGCTAGGTGCTTGCGCTGATATTCCTCGGACCCCTCCACAGACACAGGTCGGGTCATGGAAAGGGATACATCCATTACCACCACTGTAGGCATGATGAAAACGATCCCACTGTTTCCAATCAGCATGCAAACAGACAGCTATAAAGGGAGAAATGCTGTAGAAAATAAATATAATTAGGTCTTCCATGCTAAGAAGAGGAAAAAGTATTTTCTCACCATAGTTTCCTGAAATGAGTGAAAGCCAATCCTATTTAAGTTGAGGTGAGGGCAACGCTGCATTTAGTGGGAGGGAAGCAAACAACTTAGTTCACTGGAGGGTCACTCCTAGAATCACCCACTAAAATGGCCACAATTCAAGGCTAACCTAAGTGTTTCTAGTAAGGACAAAACATTCAACTCAGGGGCCTCCCCTGGTGGCGCAGAGGTTGAGCGCTGGGCTGCGAGGCTGCCCGCAGCCTCTGCAGCGCCGGTTTGTTCCCTGGCTGCTGGCAAGGGTCCCACACACACACAAAAAACCCAAACATTCAATTCAGGTAAACCTTGATATTCATTATTTTTTTTTTTTTAAGATTTATTTATATATACAAGAACCGGGGTACAGGCCAGATGTGCAGGAGGGTGACAGGATTCACCAGAGACAGAGTGGGGAACAGAACAGGCAGATTGACGAAATACACTGCTGAGGGGAGCAGCAGGCGAGACAGGAAAGGTCTGCCGCACCATGTGGGACCCTCCCAGGCCCGCCGGGGATTGAACCTGCACTGCAGAGGCTGCGGACTGCTTCACAGTGCGGTGCTCAACTGCCTGCGCCACCAGGGAGGTCCAACCCTAATTTTCATTCTTTCAATTTTTTTTTTCTTTTATTCAATTTTTTTAAAATTAATTAATTTATTTATACAAGCACTGGGTACAGTCAGAAGTGCGGGAGGGTGAGAGAATTCACCAGAACCAGAGCGGGGAGCAGAGCAGGCAGAAGGACCGAAGTACACTGCTGAGGGGAGCAGCGGGCGGCAGGAGAGGTCTGCGCGCCATGTGGGACCCTCCTCTGGTGGCCGGGGAGCAGTCGGGGATCGAACCAACACTGCAGAGGCTGCAGGCAGCTTCGCAGCCCAGCGCTCAACCGCTGCGCCACTAAGGGAGACCCCATTCTTTCAATTTTTATACAACTTAACATAACACTCCTACATCACTTCTCCAACACTTTATTTACTAAAGAACATTTTTAGTCATCATAGTGGTGCTATCTGACAATCATTCTTTTTTGGCACATAGTACTATTTTAATCAACATAACAGTATTTGTGCATGTTTATCTTGTGGTTTGGTACCCTTGTTTTATTAAATTGAAAGAAAAACATAAAGATGAAAGGGCTAGCAAAGTCATAATCCAAATCAGATAAAACTTAGAAATCATCAAGCATGACAAAAGCAATAAACTGTTAGCCTCAGTAGTACTCACTGGACATAAATTGAGCCACAGTGCTCTAACTGTGAAGGAAAGAACAAAATGAAAGGGAATCCAGGAAACATGCATTATTCCATGAAATTATGTATGAAAATAAAAATGCTGATAAATGGAGGAAACACTACTTTAAAATTATGGGTTGATAATCAGCATGAAGAAAACATTTCTGTGCTCAAAAACAAAGAAAAAAGTTCATAAAAACACACACCTGTTTATGGGAACATTGCTTGGCTGCTATTCTATTACTAACCAAACTATACAGTCTAATGACAAAGTGAAGTATCACACAATTATAAATTAATAAGACATATGTAGATATCAGAAATAGAGCAAGTATTAGTAACTAAGAAAAGCAAGTCACAGGACTGTATGTCTACACTGATAAACAAATTCATAAATATCATTTTGCAAATATGCAATCAGGGAAAACTCTGGATGGACATAAAGGGTTAGAAATTTAATGTTTATTAATTTCTCTTCAGAAACTTACTTCAAAACACATGAACAACACTAGGCTGCTTGTTTTAAGTTCAGTGCCCATCAGCAAATGTGTGATATTCTAAAGTTGATCTGTAAATGTGGGAAACTCCGACCCTATTGGTTCAGAGAAACAATGTTATAAATGGGGTTTATTTTTTAAAGATTTATTTATTTATGTATACAAGAACTGGGGTACAGGCCACAGGTGTGTGGGGTGAGAGGAGTCACCAGAGACAGAGTGGGGAGCAGAACAGGCAGATTGACTGAAATAACACTGCTGAAGGGAGCACAGGGCGAGGCAGGAGAGGTCTGCTGCGCCAATTGGGCCACCTCCCTGGCTGGGGATCGAATTCATGCTGCAGTATTACATCAGATTTCATAGGCTTTCTTATGCCTAATCTAAATCTATGTACCTGATTCCCAGTTTCCCCACGTGGCCCGCAGACCTCTCCTGCCACCCACTGCTCCCTCAGCAGTGTACTTCATAAGTCTGTCTGTTCTGTTCCCCACACTGGCTCTGGTGAATTCTCTCACCCTTCCGTGCTTCTGACTGTACCCAGCTATCCGCAGCGGATAGCTTCATAGGTTGCGTCTTAACCCCTTGCGCCACCAGGGAGGCCCTATAAATGGGGTTTAAAGAAGCAAGTTGGAAAAGGCTTTTTACCACATAGTGGCCATGATACATTTCAAATACAGTAATGCCTCAGATATTAAACATCAATAAAGATTCAATGAAAGACAGAAGTAAATTTTCCAGACTCCTTAGAACTCCAAAATGTTTAACCATTTTGATAGAAAAAATTAAGGTCTTACATTTCTTCCTTATTAAACAGGGTATACTAAACATAACTCACTCTTTTACCATGACTTGGCACCACAAGTCTAAACACCAATGCTGTCCTGCACACCGATGTTTTACTTTACATCTGTGAGCACATCTTACCCTTACAAGGGTGTGCTGCAGGACACTGTTCTGGAGGGATCCTCCACGAAAAGTGAGCTCAGGCCTTATTAAAGGTTCTGAGAGGTTATACAGCAAAGAATTCAGTTTAATTTGCTACTGTTTCCCACTTTGCCTTCTCGAAATAATTACTATTAAGGTTCCTTCCAATAAGTATTAGTGCCTCCTCTTTATAATTAATTTTTACACTATCAGCATGTATTCCACTTTTCTCAGTAATCCTCTGTACTCATCCTTCCTCTTTCAAGTTTGCTGTTTCTTGGCTGTTAGGGACTGGAAAGCCAGATAATCAAATTTGTCATGCAATTTCATTGAAGATCAAAGTTAACAGGTTCTAAGAGCCCATGGGTTTTTTCCTAGGGTAAAATGCATGAGCTTATGTGTATCAGATCCATACTATTTTTTTCTTTTAAATATTTATTTATTTATTTATACAAGCACTGGGTACAGTCAGAAGCGCGGAAGGGTGAGAGAATTCACCAGAGCCAGTGTGGGGAACAGAACAGACAGACTTATGAAGTACACTGCTGAGGGGAGCAGTGGGTGGCAGGAGAGGTCTGCGGGCCACGTGGGGAAACTGGGAATCAGGTACATAGATTTAGATTAGGCATAAGAAAGCCTATGAAATCTGATGTAATACTGGAATGGGTGACCATAGCTGGCAGTCCTTCCTTCTCTGCAGACACCTCTAGAGCTGACTCTCCTGACTGATGTATTTGTGTCCACCCCCAAATATATCTCCTTAACAGTGGTAAAGCCTTAGAAAACATTTTTAATATCCGGGTTATAAGGACAGACATAAAAGAGAGAACTAAATGTTCTTGAAGGATGTTACATTCAGGCAGTCTAGACCTGGAGGGAAAAAAATCCCTGCCCCCTACAACCTAGCAGTTTTGTGAGAACACAGTGTATTTCTCACCTGAGTTGATTCTGACCCTCAAGTCCCTCACCCCACCTCTACATCCTTCCCATAAGTACTGTTTACATACAATGCTTAGAACACCAGGAGTCTTCTTTCTCAAGAACAGTCTATTTCCGAGAATAAGCCCCGGCCACCTGTTTTGGCCTAAATGCAAAGTCTCCATCAGATACACATTTATGATTTTTCTCTATCGGTGACAATTAGTTCATTCAAAAGGATTTCCTCTCAGTAGTTTCGCTCTCAAAGCGTGATTCCACTTGAATTTTAGAGGCCTGTCCAATCGTTAGCGTCCTCAGCTACTCTTAGGCTCCCCTATCAGTCTGACATCCCTCACAAGAGTCAGTCCCTCCCGTGTTTTCAGATGCAACTTTATGTCTAAAAGGCAAGCCTGGAATACAGAATTCGGGCATGTGGATCGTACTGGGGATGTACTTCAAATCGGTCAAAACAATAAACTGAGAACTGGGGGCTGGAGCAGGCGACCGAAATCGTGGTGCTAACCGGAGCGGCAGACTCCGAGCCACAGAGTAAGAGCAGGCTCCACTGCCCCGGTGTTGCTCCCCATCCCTAACCCCTTCTCCCACAGCCCCACCTGCAACGAAAGACAACCCCGATCACCGCCGGCCCGACTCACCCCGCGCCCATCGCCGGCACAGTCCGTCTGCAAAAACTTTCCGCCCGCGCGCCACGGCCGGAAATACAGGGCCGCGCGACAAAAGGGCCGGGGCGGGGCCGGGGCGGGGCCGGGGGGGCGGGGCCGGGGGGGCGGGGCCGGAGCCTGGCGCGGCGCGGACGCTAGGGGGCGCGTCCTCCTCGGCGCCGCTCTCTGGAGATCAGTCACCCAGACTCCTCACCTCACAAAACGCCAGCTTCGCTGCTCCCTGGCTGTGTCCGCTCCTTGCTTTCCTCCCTTCTTTCCCTCCCTCTCTCTCTTACTTCCCTCTCCACCCTGTTCTCTATTCCTCCTCATCGCGTCTTCCTCCCCCTCACTGACCCGTGGGCCTCGCAGGCTGTTGGCCGGCAACTGTGACCCTTTCTCACTTCTGTCTCCTCACTCACCTGGGCGGGCAGGTGCACCAGCCTAACCCTCACAGGTGTTTGCCCCTCTTCCTCGTCTTTCTTCAGACCCCTCACTCATAGCCTCTGAACCAGGTAACAGAATCCTCCTCCCGCTCTTTTAAAATTTTGAGGGAAGCAGAGGGAAAGTTCAGTTAGTTCTGTCAGCGCTTGACCAAGGTGATTTGCTGCAGGATTTGCAGTCAGTTTCCTGGACTCTCACCTGCCCCACCTCTGCCACCCGGTGTCCCCACAGCAGTTTCACCACAGTGAGGTCTTTGAGGTGACAAGTATCATGTTCTTTCTAACCATGTAGAGAGCCAGGAAATGCCAGCAAGAGGTAGGTCTGAATGGATGCCACCAGGCCCCTGGATAGTCGTGGCTCAAAGAGCAATGTTGTGCCACATAGGTTACAAGTGGGAAGAGAACCGCCTCTAGAAAGTCTTAGACTGTTGCCTCTTTTTCTCTTAGTTGGGAGATGGAGTGAGGTAGGGGATGGGTCAAGGAGGGAGGATCCTTTGAACTGCACACCCCAGTCTGTCTCACTTTTCACAGCTTCTTCTGCGGGAGAGTTTGGGCTACAGGAGTTGCTTGTAGCTCTTTCCTTTCTCCTCATTTCAGAGGTGGCAAAGGAAGATGCCTCAGTTCTTGGGATGCCCTTGCCAGCATCAGGGTCCAGGAGATTACAGGCTGCCCTGTTTGCTTCAGAATTTCTGTCTCCAGCCCAGTTAGTCTCACCATCTCAAGGCCTTGTTAAGCTTGAGTAGGCATGGGCTCCAGGTAAGTAAGGCTGCATCCTGATTATTTGGCCATAATTTCTAATTCTTTCTCTGGTGGGAGAGATAGGACCAAGAATGTGTGGGCAGAGCACTTGTCTAGCTTCCCCTTATGTGATGATGACTTAACCGTAGGATCATTTTTGTCCTGGTAGTTATAGTTCGGTTCCATGGGTGATTTGTTATTTTACCCAGTTCCTAAAACTTGAGCTTATTAGTTTGCTGATGGGAGGTCTGGTCTTGGAGACCTAGTTCTTTTGACACTGGCTTCAGGAGACTAGAGAAAGTTAAAGGGCAATTCATTAAAATTGGTGATCAATTTTACCAAGAGTAGAATTACCAAGAGGAATGTGCCACTTAGGGCAACTCACAAATGTTTTTAACTCTTAGTAGAATCCCATTTTTAAAAAGTCAGAAAGATGCTCAGAGAAATATAAAACAGGAGACATCAGGACAAAGAGGGTGTTAAAGGAGATGTCTTTCAAGTCATAGCTGACTAATGACTTTCTTTTTCCCACTCAAGAGACCTTCAGCATTTGCTTGTCTCTGCACACATTAAAGGAAATCAATAAACAACTTTCTTTGCATAACCTATTACCCCTTCATTTTTTTCTTCCTGTTTTGATACAGTGGAGTGCCATCACAGAGGCTTTGCTGAGCACACTGACTTGATCTTCAGTCTGGCAGAGTAAAGGTTAGTGACTGAAATACCTAGTCACTCACAGGGGTCAGGTACTGGGGCTCAAGGGAGGTTCAGATATCCAGTTCTCCTTGGATATATGTTGAAAATGTAGACTGCCAGACCATGCTGACTAAATTGGAATGTCATGTGTTAGTGCCTGAGAATCTTCATTGTTAAATTCCGCAGATGATTTTTCATCTGCACGGGTGAAGGGTAAGGGGAAAAGAAAAGGGAGTGGAGGGAACAGTGAACTCACATCCCTTTTCTGGTCTTTTCTCCTTTGACTCTCCTGTTCTGTGCTTTGTCTGGCATCTCCCTTTCTAACTCTTCTAGTCTGTTCCTTGTCCACTTACAAATCATGCTTCTAAGCTCCAGGCTATCTCCTTTCCACCAGAACCCACTCCATTCCACAATTTTCACCAAAATGGAAGTCTAAAGAATTTGTAGCTATGATCCTTCTTAAATTATTTTACTCTTGGAAAATTTCAAGCATAGCAAAGATAGGAGAATTAGTATAATAAATCCCCATGTATCCTTCTGTCAACTCAGCTTCTGTCAACTCAGTTCACAATCTTGTTTCATTTGTACCCCTGCTGACATCCTCACAACACATTATTTTGTTGCATATCCTAGATAGCATAACATTTTGTCCATGAATATTTCAGTTTGTATCTCTAAAAGCAAGGACTTACAAAAATAATAAATTTCAGTTTTAGATTCATAGCAAAATGAAGTAGAAAGTATAGAGTTCCCCTATACTCTCTACACTTACATCCCTCCCCCACTATCAACATCCTGCCCAAGAGTGGCACATTTGTTACAATCCATGATAATGATACATCATTCTCATCTCAAGCCCATAGCTTACCTTAGGGTTTGCTCTTGGCATTGTACATTCTATCGATTTTGACAAATATACAATAGTATAATGACATGTAACCACGGTCACAGTGGCATCCAGAGTAGTTTCATGGCCCTAAAAATCTCCTGTATTCTTCCTTTTCATACTTCCCTCTCCTCTGATGGCTGGCAGCCACTGTTTTGCCCTTTCCAGGATGTCCTAACATTGTAATTATATAGTGTGACTTTCAGATTGGCCTCTTTCGCTTAGTAAAATGCATTTAGGCATCCTCCATCTCTGTTCATAGCTTATTTCAGTTTAGCACTGAATGATACTCCACTGTCCATTCATCTGCAGAGAGGGCATATTGGTTGCTTCCAAGTTTTGGTTATTATGAATAAGGCTGTTGTGAACATCCACGTGCAGGTGTGGACATAAGTTTTCGATTTATTGGAGGAATGCAAAGGAGAGTGATTGCTGGATCCTATGGTCAGAGTATGCCAAACTATTTTCCATAGCTGCTGTAGTATTTTTTGTATTCCTAGCAGCAGTGAATGAGGGTCCCTGCTGCTCTGCACCCTCACCAGCATCTCTTGTCACTGTTCTGGATTTTGGCCATTCTCATTGGTTGTAGTGGTATTTCATTGCTTTAATTTGCGATTTCCTAATGACACGTCATGTTGAACATCTTTTTATATGCTTACTTGGCATCTGTACATCTTCTATGATGTCTCTCCTTGGATATTTTCCCCATATTTAATCACATTTTGAAAAAATTTTGACTTAATTATTTTTAATCTTACTTTTTTTTTATTGTGGTAACTTTCATTTACAATACCGTGTAGATTTCAAGTATATATAGTTGCTCCCCTGAGCAACTGTATATATCACACCATGCCCACCACCAGATCACCTGTCACCATTCACCACCAGCCAATCACCCACCTCTATCTGCTCCAGCCTCCACAGGTTGTTCATTTTCTTATTGTTAAATTTTATATGTTATTTGTATGTTTTGGGTAACAGTCCATTATCAGGTATGTGTTCTCCTAGTCTATGGCTTATCTTGACAGAGAGGAGCTACAGAGGAGCCACATTCTCTTGACAGGAACTGAAATAAAAGTTAATTATCATTCATTAGCAAACTTAAAATAATTAATAAGAAATTCATAATAGCATCAAATACCCAGTCAGCATTCAGATATCCAGTTGTCTCATAAATTTTACTTTTTTATTTTTATTATTTTTGTTTTCTTTTTTTTAAAGATTTATTTATGCATACAAGAGTTGGGGTGAAGACCAAAGGTGTGGGGGTGAGAGGATTCAGTAGAGACAGAGTGGGGAACAGAACAGGTGGATTGACTGAAATACACTGCTGAGGGGAGCAGCAGGCAAGACAGGAGAGGTCTGCTGTGCCATGTGGGTCACCTTCCTGGCCGGGATAAAACTCATGCTGCAGTAGCTGCTGGTTGCTTCATAGTGCTGATGCTTAACCGCTTGCACAACCAGGGAGGCCCCAATTTTACGTTTTTACACTTTCTTTGTTTGAATGAGGATTCAGTTGAGATCCAGATATTACAATCTGTTGCTGTTTCTCTTAAGTTTCTGTAATATACTGGTCTTTTATTTCATATCTTTATTTCCCTTGCAATGTATTTGATAAAGAAACTCCAGCCCCCTTTTTTAAGTTGCTCTCAATCCTCCTTCAGTCTTTTCCATAGCATTTGAGAGAACTACAAATCTCCTGTCTACTCTAAAATAATACAATAATACAAAGGTTTGCTGAGCCAAGAAAGATTGTATGCAATTCCTATTCTAATTAACTTTACCTCTGCTCTGTAATGGGGGTAAGCTTTATCCACCACTGGATTCCCATGGTTTGGTATGTGACACTGAATATGAATTTGTAGAAAGAAGAGAGGAAGGAAGGAAGAGAGCTTATCAGGGGCTACAAAGTCAAAGGGAAAAGCAGAGAGAATGTAACTATGGTTGTCTATAGAGAATAGAGTTGAACCTCTTTATTCTGGAAATTCCTTGAAAAAAAAAGTGTTATAAATGCTATTTTTTTTTTTTTAGATTAAATGACTTAAAGTTTTGTTTTTTTTTTAAAGATTTATTTATTTATTTATACAAGCACTGGGTACAGTCAGAAGCGCGGGAGGGTGAGAGAATTCACCAGAGCCAGAACAGGGAGCAGAGCAGGCAGAAGGACTGAAGTACACTGCTGAGGGGAGCAGTGGGCGGCAGGAGAGGTCTGCGCGCCATGTGGGACCCTCTTCCGGTGGCCGGGGAGCAGCCGGGGATCGAACTGGCGCTGCAGAGGCTGCGGGCAGCTTCGCAACCCAGCGAACAACTGCTGCGCCACCGGGGAAGCCCGACTTAAAGTTTTTAATCATTGAATTATTATAGCTTTTACAGACCACGGGGCAAGCCTTCCATCATTTTACTTTTTTTTTAATTTAAATATTTTATTTTATATAATTCTTACATCAGTTTTCATTTTTGCACAATGTATGCATTTTCATTTTGGTTATATTTCCCCATACAATTGTACCCCCCCCTTATTTTGATCCTAGTTCTTCCTCTATCCCCCTTCCCCCCCAAGTGTGTGTCTGGTTTATAGTTGCTTGTTGATTTTGATTTTTACTTTGTATTAATTAGTCTTTTTCCTGGTCCCTTATTTAGGTTTTCTAAATTCCTGCTATGAGTGAGACCATCCGGTATTTTTCTCTTTCTTTCTGTCTTATTTTGCTGAGCATGATCCCTTCTAGCTCCATCCATGTTGCTGCAAACTGCATGTGTTTATCTTTTTGATTGCTGAGTAATATTCCATTGTGTATATGTACCACATCTTCTTGATCCAGTCTAAATGGTAAATTTTTTTTTTTATATATAGAAGCATGTTTTCTTTCCTTCTTCCTTCCTTCCTTCCTTCCTTCCTTCCTTCCTTCCTTCCTTCCTTCCTTCCTTCCTTCCTTCCTTCCTTCCTTCCTTCCTTCCTTCCTTTCCTTTTCCTTTCTTTGTTTTTGTTTATACAAGCACTGGGTACAGTCAGAAGCGCGGGAGGGTGAGAGAATTCACCAGAGCCAGAGCGGAGAGCAGAGCAGAGCAGGCAGAAGGACCGAAGTACACTGCTGAGGGGAGCAGCCGGCGGCAGGAGAGGTCTGCGTGCCATGTGGGACCCTCCTCCAGTGGCCGGGGAGCAGCCGGGGATCGAACCGGCGCCGTAGAGGCCGCGGGCAGCTTCGCAACCCAGAGCTCAACTGCTGCGCCACCGGGGAGGCCCTAAATGGTAAATTTTTAAAGGCCCTCATGATTTAGCCCTCCATCTCTTTTGCCAGCCTCACCTCCTCCCTCTTTAAACTTTGGCAGTATCTTTCAATGAAAAGGTAGATAAAGAAAAACAAAATATAAATATTTTTTAAATTATAAAAGGAATTCATTTCCATGGGAAAAAATTAAAACAATTTCAAAACGCAGTGAAAACTGTTTCCCTGTTGGTAGTAGCCATCTGCCTCAGGTGTGGTTTCAGCCCTGACTCTGAGAGATGAAGTATCAGGATTGTTTTTGTGTAGTTGACCTTGTTTATTTTACATCTACTGATAACAGAAGTATTTCTAGAATCTAGGTTTTCTAGATTCCTGCTATGAGTGAGACCATCCAGAATTTTTCTTTTTTTTTCTGGCTTATTTTGCTGAGGTGGGAAGCCTCTGGAATGTTTGGAATACCGGAGGGACATGAGCTGACTTACAGTTTCACAGGGCCACTTGGGCTGCCTCACCAATATCTTCTCCAGCACTGGATATTAATAAAATTTTAGTCATTTTCAACTCCTGTTTTATGCTCTTCCTGGAACAGGATGGCAGTGGCATTGCTTCTGTTGGTATTTCTTTGTAAAATCAGCTCAGACACAGTGAGTTTTACTTAGTGGGCTGTTTCTTACTCAGGAAAGAGGTTTTAATGGCACTGAAGCTATGTGTATTCCTGCATGGCCACAGTGAAGGCCTCTGGTGGTACCAGTCTGCCCGCCTCTCTGGACCCCAGGTTCTTCTTCTCTGAACTGCAGTCAACTTAACATGTCAACTCCTTGCCTCAGTTTTGGCTCCAGACACTGACTTGGAAACATGAAATGCTATGGCATGATTTGGGGCTTATTTTGCTCATTCAAATAGTGACAACTATAAGACCATCTAAAAATCCTATAAGCAAGTGGCACAAACAATTAAAACACTTATAAATGAGCGGTCTTGGGCTGACAGAACCAAGTGCTTCCCCACAGTACTCTTACAGCAAGCCCACCAGGAAGCTTGTCTTCAGGGTTTATAAGTGAGGAGCCTGAGGAGACTTGCTCCTTGTCAGGCTTGTTACTTTATTAGATGTCGTAACTTAATTTTATTCACCCGGGCCCTGAAGATATGGCTTTTGCAGCACCTAACAACTCTTGTCTACTTTCCACTGTGCAACAGGAGAATTGGTGTCCACTCCTGATGTAGCCCAGAAGTAATCCAGCCTGGACCACCAGTCATTGGTGTCAGACTGAGTGTCATTCCCTCTTCCTCTTTTTCTAATAGAACTCAGAAAGGCCTTGATGTGCAGAGGGAAAGAAAAGGCCTCCCTGCTGTCTACCCCTGCTCTAAGCCCAGCACATCCCCAGTTCCAGATATTATTGTGAAGGTCAAAGTCAGATTGTCCATATGTCCTATTCTAGAGAGAGTATAAAATGAGACAACTTGGTAGACAAAACAGATCAGCTTCCCCTTCTTAGTGCTACTGCTCTTTCTCCAGCAGTTTGCTCTCTAAAAGTCCATGAGTCTCTGTAAGGCGCACTAATGCTACCACCCCCCCACCCCCCCGTGTGTAGTCCCATCAGTGAGCATCACTTTACTGCCATGCCCCATTTCAGTTCACTAACAAATAAATTGATTAGGTGCCAGACCTTATTCTGGGCTCTGGGGATTCAGTGGTGAATAAGGCAGGCCCCTCCACCTCACTGCTAGTGAGATGTGCACACATTGATCAGGGGATCACACTAACAAATATACAGGACAGCATTGTCATGATGGAATGCATGGGGACTACTGCCCCCTCACATTAAGGTCTCCAAAAGCAGAATAACAACCACAGCTCCACCAGGTACTAGTTAATATGTTTAATACATTAATTTACTTAGTCCTCACAACAAACCTGCCCAGCAGGTTTTGTCATTGTCATTGTCACCCTCTTTTTACAGCTTCTGAGAAATTATATAACTTTCCCAAACTAATACAGAGATGCTTCCACTCTTGGTTGAGCAGCAAACTTTTCTGCAGCCTATTGAATGCCTCAATGCCATGAGAACAAGACAGAGGGACCAGGTTTACCCTCAGCAGGTAAAATTAATTTATTAAAATTTTTAAAAAGATTTATTTATTTATGTATACAAGAACTGAGGTACAGGCCAGAAGTGTGGGGGTGGTGAGAGGATTTACCAGAGACAGAGTGGGGAGCAGAACAGGTGGACTGACTAAAATAAACTGCTGAGGGGAGCAGTGGGCGGGACAGGAGAGGTCTGCTGCACCATGTGGATAGTTCCCTGGCTGGCTGAGGATCAAACTTGTGCTGCAGAGGCTGGGGATAGCTTCACAGTGCTGTGCTTAACCCCTTGCGCCACCAAGGAGGCCCATCAGCAGGTAGAATTTAGGTGAGCCCCTACAGAGAACTTGGTAGCAGTTATGAGCATATTTAAGAAAGAAATTCCTGGCCTCCCCAGTGGCATAGCAGGTTGAGCACAGCGCTGTGAAGCTGTCCCCAGCCTCTGCAGTGCAGGTTCGATCCTGGCCGGCCAGGGAGATACCTACAAGGCACGGCAGAACTCTCCTGTCTCGCCTGCTGCTCCCCTCAGCAGTGTATTTCAGTCTGTCTGCCTGTTCTGCTCCCCACTCTGTCTCTGGTGAATCCTCCCACCCTCTAGTGCCTCTGGTCTGTATCCCAGCTCTTGTATAAATAAAAATAAATCTTAAAAAAATAAAAGAAAGAAATTCCGCTCCTGGGAATTTTCTTCTCTCCTAAATTTCCTATATTGCACACATAACATTTTGAAAATAGAGGAATTATTTTAGGGGAGAAAAAAGATCACTGATAAATTTGGGTTTCTCTTTCCATCTTTCTGGGTCAAACTGAACCTGTGTTAGACAGCTAGTATGAGAAGGGAAGTACTTGGAGGTGCTTCTGCCTGCAGTAGCTTAAAGGCAAAGATGCTGTAACTAGCAGAGGTCAACCCCCTACTCAAGGCTCCCAACATCCAGAGTGACCCCATGATACCTAAAGATGAAGACAGTTTTTCCACAGAGAGTGCTTCAGCAAAGGGAACAGATGAAAGTAATCAAAGCAGCATGTTAGCCATGTACCTTGGGCGGAAAAGGAAGGGGAGGAAGGGGTAACGAGTAAGTATCAGATATGGTTACCCAAATGATTTAAGTGACTTCCTGGGAAACAGGGAAGGTCATGAGACCCCCATTGCCGCACTTCATTTCCACTTACATCAACCCTTGCCTTGAGTTGGAAGGGCAATTCTGCAGGTCTCTGGGCTGTCCCAGCCTGCTCTGGGGAGATCTTTCAATGCCCTCTCCCTCAAGGATTTCCTGTAGACCTAATGTGATACTTTTCATGTGTGAAATGCCTTAAGTTTGCAAAATATTTCCCCCATATTGCCTCATTTAAAAAAGTAGACTGTATTTCTTAGTGCAGTTTTAGGTCGACAGCAAAATTGAGTTCCTTCATTTTAAATTTTGATTCTGACATACATGCTACAAATAGGTAGGAAAGGTGATATTATCTCCACATTTTCATTTAGATTACACTTAAATCACACAGTAGCAAACTGAGGCAGGTGCTCACTGAGGTCCTTTGATGTTTTCAGCCCCAGGTACTTTCTCTTGGTTCTTTTTCAATTCCTTCTGAATCTTTCCAGATCTTTCCTCCCCTAAGACATGGGTACCTTGGACCACCTCTCATTCGCATCCTTTGGTAACAAGTGTGAATTGTTCTTCCAGTTTCCTCCTGATTGTAAGGGCCCTGGGAAAGCCCGTCTGTGTCTGTGGTGGAAGGTCCACCCTCTCAGGCCCTATCAGAAGCACTGGGACCTAGATCTTGTACAATGCCCTGATAAGCTTCTTAGAGGCAGGTATTAGCAGGGATTGGATATTCTTCCCCTGAGGTGCCCTTCATACCTGACCCTGCCTTGGTTAGGATTCCATAGGGGAACTGGGGGCAGGTGAGTGGGGTATTCCCTGCTGCCCAGCATCAGACCCACTCTTTGAGACCCTGGATCTGGCAAGTTTCCAAAACTGAGAAGACACCCAGATGTCCAGGTTTGGAGGTAAATAATGTGATTAGGCAAGGGGGATCAGCTGAGGTGTCAGCTCAGCTCGATTACATAACATAGACACACCAGGAGACAACCCTTCTAAGTTTTTTAGGAGATTCAAGTGGCCCTGCTAGGAAGTGTTTGCAGCAAGGAACTGGGTGGACAGAGAGATGGTAGAAAGACAATTATAGGAAACTAGGACAAAGAATGAAATACACTTATTCTGTATTCCTTCTATTTGTCCCTCTTTTGCTTTTTAAGACAATTGCAGTTACATTTCTAATTAGTGTGGTGTGCTGGAAAATTTGGGGCATTAGAAGCCTCATCTACCCTGTAACCCACTAACTGTGTGACATTAAGCAAGACACACCTCTCTGAACCTCAGTTTCTTCATGTCTCAAATTGAGAGTCACACTAAACGGTACTTGTAGTTTTTTCTGCCTTTAACAACCTAAGATTCTGTGGGTTACACATCTCACTTCTAATGTGTTACTTCATATGCAAAAACTAGTGTTTTCTAGTTATTGTTTTCAATAGTTTGTAGATATCTCTAGTTATTGTTTTCAATAGTCTGTGGACATCAATTAATAAATATTTACTTGGGCTAGGCCTCCATGCCCTTCTTTATAAACTGAGGATTCTTGGGGGGCCTTTCATGTTCTTCCCTCTAGCAGAGAAATTAACCCTTTGGTAGTGCTTGATTTGTACAATAGTTTTCACAGTTCTGTTTTTTTTTTTTATGCTGTCAACATTCCTATGACATAGATAGTATGGCTACTACTTACATAGATAAGTATTCTTATTCCTATTAAAGTTAATTTAAATTTTAAATATTATAACATTTACATGATAAAAGGTTAAACAGTTAAACTGAACACTAGGATATATTGAAAGGTAAGTTTCCCTTTAACCCATGACCCTTAGTTTCCTTTCTCCAGATGTCCTTCCAAAGATCATCTTTGTATAATCAACTTCCATGTAATCATGTCATGCCCATTTCACAGATAAGGCACTGAGGCTCACCCTGTCCAGGGTGACACCACTGGGAAACAGCAGAACTAGCAATAAAAGCCTTTGACTCCATTCCTCAATGGGAAACACTGAAACATTCACTTTTAGGTTTTTTCCTCTCTGGATCATATGGTGGAATCATTTTGAGTCAGTATCGAAAAACTAGTGGAGCCTTGGTGTCTCTGCACTGCCTGCCACAATTGCTTCTATTTTGTCTAACGCTTAAAATCGTGTCACCTAGCTTCCCTCTTGGCTATGATGAGGTAAGATCTGTGGCCTGGGCACCAACTATGGATGATTGTGCTCCCAGAAACTCAGGCTGAGCTGAGGGGTGCTGGTGGACTTCTTGCAGGGAGCCCAGTTAAGACTGGGTGGACCCAGGGCTGCCTGGGCTGCTGCTCCTACATAGCACAGAGGAGCCCTCCATGATCTTTTCCCCCATGAGCATTCATGGCTCCCTATTGCAGGGGCTAAGGGTAGCTTTTCTCCTGCAGAAGTAACTGCCTCCCACTGCAAAGGCCCCTGCATAAATTGTCACTCTTCTGGTTTAGCGGTTGGTGGATTCCAACTCTTTTCTTGTGGTCAAATAACCTCTTTTTTTTTTTTTACTTCTAGGTTTGTGGTTATCCCCTAACTGGACTTCATGGAGAAATCTTCCCTGATACTAACCTGAATCCCAGAACAGCCCCCATTTTTTCCCTGGACAGAATGAGAGACCTTCTGTAACCACACATAACTTGCCATTTTGGGGAAGTTTATCAGGATGGGGGCACAGGAAAGACTGTTACTCAAGCCAAAGCGACTTAATTGGAGTTGCTTCCTCTTCCTATTGGGAATGCTGATCATCGTTTCTACCTACCAGCACCTGAGGATCCTGCAGAGCCTCCCCTCACTATGGGTAGCAGTCTCTTCCCAGCACCCTATGAAGCTGTCCAGCAGAGACCTCCCCAGTGTGATAATGGTGACCAGTGACCCTCTGAAAGCTACCTCTGAAATGGAGAGTGAGACATGGGTGCCCCAATTCACAAAGGACAGGGACGAAGCAACACCTGGCCGAACAATGGAGAACATCCCCAGTACACCCAGAAAAACAGCCAACATCTCTCCAACAATTCCCAAGAATAAATCCAGTCCAACAGCAGCTAGTCCAGAAAGAGTGAAGGGAAACACCCCAACCACAGCCAGTGGAATACTAAATCACTACACTCCAGTTACAGCCAGACCAACAATAAGGAATTATACCCCAACAATACTCAGGAGAGAAATGAAGAGCTACCACCCAAATCAAGCAAGGGAAAAGGTGAAGAAATACACTCCATCCCCACTTGGTGGAACAGTTGACAATGATGCCCCATCCACACTCATGACTGTGATAAGAAGCCGTGGATTCAACCTAAAAACAGCAGTGAAAGACAGTGAAATTATGACAACCTACAAAATGTTGGCGACCAACCCTTCCCAGAGCATAATGGAGAAAACCACCCCAACTAATCTCAAGAAAATAATTGCTAACACCCCAACCTTCTTGATAAATAATGTAGAAACAAATACTTTGGTGGAAAAGAACACCCTGACTACCCCCAGAAGAATGGGTAAGAACAGCTCAACCAAACCCCGGGAGTTAGTGGAGGAGAACAACCTGACAACGCCCCAGGGAGCAGCCGTGGATCACACCCCAGACGCCTCTGAGGGGCAAGAGATGACAAGCACCACAGCAGACAGCAGACAGGCAGAAACCAAAACCCCTGCTGCTGCCTGGAAAGGTAGGAATCCCTCTTTCAGAACCAGTGCACCCACCTTCGGATTCTCCTCAGCCACCTTCTGGGGGCTGACCCGGAAACTTTCCACAGCACGTAGCACCTCAGCAACTCCCAGAAACAGAGCAGATCCAATCACCCAGGCTCATCATTATGTGGCCGTGCCTACTGCCCCCTCCCCCAGCCTGACAACAGCCATGATCCCAGAGGTGCCCAGTCCCAGTCCCTCAGTACTGCCCTCCAGATGGTCAGACCTCCACCCACAGGGAGAATACCCCCCAGACCTGTTTGGTGTGGAGAAGCGACGGCAGGGCTGGTTGATCCTGCATATCTTTGGCATGATGTACGTGTTCGTGGCCTTGGCCATTGTGTGTGAAGAGTACTTTGTCCCAGCCCTGGGCATCATCACAGAGAAACTGCAGATCTCTGAGGATGTGGCAGGCGCTACATTCATGGCTGCTGGAGGCTCTGCCCCTGAGCTCTTCACATCCCTCATCGGTGTCTTTATCTCCCACAGTAATGTGGGCATTGGTACCATCGTGGGCTCTGCTGTGTTTAACATTCTGTTTGTCATCGGCACCTGTTCCCTCTTCTCCCGGGAGATCCTCCACCTTACCTGGTGGCCCTTGTTCCGTGACGTCTCTTTCTACATCCTTGACCTGATGATGCTCATCATGTTCTTCCTGGATAGTCTCATTGCCTGGTGGGAGAGCCTGCTGCTGCTGTTGGCCTATGCCTTCTATGTGCTCACCATGAAGTGGAACAAGCAGCTCGAAGCCTGGGTAAAGGAGCATCTCAGCAAAGGACCCGTGACCAAGGTCATGGCCTTAGGGGACCTCAACAAGGTAAGGTCAGGCTGGCACATGCTTCTCTAACCCCTTTGGAGCAAAAGGAATGGGAGGGGGATGGGAACTGAAGAGTAGAAAGTGTTAGGTCAGACCTGAAGAGAAGGGTGCTCTGGTTCCCTTGATGTTCATTAGGCACTTAGACTCCTGTTCTCTGCCAGGCATAGTGCTGGAGCCTTTGTTACAGTGACTTTGGCTTGACCTCCAGTTACCTTATAAAGCAGTTATTATTGTGATCTTCCATGGACAGAGGAAGAAACTGTGTCCTAATGAAGTTAAAGAACTTATTCAAGGCCACACAGCAAATAGATAGTGGGGCATTGGTTTGAACCCCAGTTGGTTGGCCTGGGTCTTTAGAAATGACATTAGAGCAGCACTTCGGACAATGTCCAAGGGGGTATGAGGCAGGGAAAAATGATAATCTCTCCCATGTGCATAGTGTTTAGGGTTTTTCCAGCACCCTCATTTTCATCTAATCCTGTTTGTTCACATTCCACATTTGGAGGGGCTGGTACCTTGGATGGGTGTGACAGTGGAAGGATTTTTTGGTTTTAAAATCTTGGAGAATATGGGAACTCTGCTCTCCACTGACAAACCAGCCCTGGGGGCAGAGCCCTCTGTGCTGACAGGAGACCAGATACCAGAAGCTCCAACCCTGGGACTTTCTCCTGGGCCCAAAATTTCTTTCCAAGAATTTCTTTGTGCCTGTGAGGAACCTTCCTGCTAAACTCATTGCATGATTCTATAACCAAAAGATGAGATTAAAGTGGGGAAGTGATCTCTGAAATTCATCTCAGAGTTGTTTGGCCCTTGGGACTCCAAAGTGAGGGAATATAGACACCATTTCTCTCCTCCTCTGAAAAGGTGAGTTTGGGTAAAGATTGGCTCATGGTTGCCTGTTTTGGGTCACAGAGAAGTCAATGCTGTGAGCAGAATTTTGTGTGCAGAGTGGAAGGATTTAGCAACTTAATCTAGGGTAGTTTTGATGAGTGGGTAGGCATTGAGCCCAATCTCAGCAATATATCTCAGAGATATACGGTGCAAGGGAGATGAAATGTACTTCCCTTTGGATTCTTCAGGTAATGTGTCTTGGCCAGGGCATGGGATTGAGAGTTAGGAAGCCAGTATTGTAATCCAATTCTGCCTCTAACTGTGTGAGCTTGGACACATCTCTTCCCTTCTCTGAGGGAAATGAGTCAACTCATCAACAAAAGGTCCTGTCTGCCTCCAGCATTCATTGATAATGTCCTGTGTTCAAGGGAGTTCAGTTCTGGTACACCAGCACAAGCTGTCATTTGTCTGACCTAGTCAACTGAGCTCCAAATGTCTTCTTTGAAGGAAGCCCCTCAAAGAGGTGTGCCCTGCCCAAGGACATTCAACCAACAGATTTCAGAACTCGTATCTAAACTCCCCATTCATCGTTATTTCTACCAAATTATTGCTCCATGAAGTCAAAGGTTTAAAAAAAGAAAGGGAAGCTCAGAGCATTGCATTGTGTAATATGAAGAAATAGGGTCTCCTTCTTTGTGAAGTTCTTAGGGCAGGCCTTGCTGAGGGGGGCCGTGAGGTCCCAGTGCTCTCCAAGAAAAGCACTTTCAAAATACCTGTGACTTGCCTCTCAGCCCTTAATAGTAAACTCTGTTTTTATTTAAATTCCACAAATTCTTTATCTTCCATTTCATCAGAGCTAGACTGTCAAAGCAAAGTTTGCCAAGAATTACTGATTTAAAAAGAGAATTTCTTTAAAAATTTTTTTTTCTTATATTGTTCATTTTTGTACAGTATTTGATTTCTCCCCTTAGGTGTAGTCCCCATAAATCTCCCACCTCCGTATCACCCATGAACCATCTCCATAGCTCCTTGTGCTCTTCACTCCCCTATTCAAAAGAGAATTTCTAACTTACTTAAGAGACTCTTCAAAAGCTTTAGCAGCAGCTCTTTGCCAACCAGTGAAATCACCAGTGGTGCTGATTACAATTCCATCCTTGTTTATTTGTTGAAACAGTCTCTGTATGACTTTTTAATTAACAGCATCAATTTTTAAAAAGAGGTTGAATTACTGGCTATACTTGAAGTTATAGATCTATATTTATTTAAAATAGAAAATCTATATTTAGGATTTTCCATCACTAACAAATGCCTTCTAAAAATCAGTCCAAATAACTCAAGAACTAATAGCTGCTTTTAAATGACTTTTTAAAAACCATTCAGATTCAGAATATCACCAAGGTTTCTGATAGCCAGAAAAAGGGACTATTTCGAATTCATGAAGCAATTCTCTGAAAATCCAATCTTTAATCTAGTAAACTGTTGGTTTTCATTTTTGTGGTTTAGGCTATGTACTCAACCTCTGTAAATTATTTTACTTTAACTATGAAAATAAAAATGCCTTGTTCTCTCTTCTCTCACACATTGATTTCTTGGTTCACGTCTCTCCCTGACTGATGGGTCCCTCCTTGGAACATATTCTTAGGAAGGCAGGGGCCTTATTCAGTCTGGACTGGGCTTATTCAATCAGTCATCCCCAGAGGTGAGGAAATCTGGAAGAAGTGGGGCAAGATCAGACAGAGTAGCTAGGGGCCAAGACAGGTGTCTGGGGAGGCAAGGTCAGAGCCACACTTGCTCAGGAAGTCTGGAGGGGGAGGAGAAGTGGAGGACTTCTCTTCAGCACTGCACTGAAGAAAAGCAGGCACAGGAACGATACCTGGGCCTGCCCCTTCCTTTGTCACCCATCTGGGGGGAGGTGTGGAGAGGGCAGCTATGTGAGGTTCATCATTGCTACTCAATGGAGATACAACCTTTCAGTCTTCCAGAAGGCTGAGCCAGGGACTCCTTCCTAACAGAAGTTCTCCAAGTATTTGTTTTGGTTTCTTCAGGGGAGTCTAACAATTTAGAGAGAGAATGGAATGGGTTATGGATTACATACTTATGCAGGGCCTATTCCTTACATACTTTCCCGCAGCAATTTCTCATAAAAACCCTAAAAGGACTAGATTCTTATCCCCATTTTGCAGATGAGGAAACTGAGGTTCCTAAGTAATTAATTCAGTCAAAGTTAACAGAGCTAGTAGATAGTCCTTACCACTGGTTCATGAATTTATATATCTGGGCTTTAATCCAGACTCCACTGATAATATCCCTGTCACCCTAGGCAAGTTGATGCAATTCGACAAACCTCTGTCGTAAATGAAAGGCAGTGTGAGAAGTAAAAAGATTGTATTCCTTCCAGTAGAAGGGGTAGGCATAGGCAAAAGTAACTGTGATAAAGGGAACACTGTAAAGTGCTACTGTCTCTTTACTTTTCAAACCAGCCTTAGCTGGCTCGCTCAGCCATCAAGTGAACGGGATGAACTAGAGCAGGTAGGTGTAGGAAAACTTTTGCTTTGAGGGTCAGACAGTTGAATGTATTAGGATTTGCAGGACGTACAGTCTCTACAGTCTCTCTTGCAACTCCTCAACTATGTTTCAGTGTGAAAGCTACCAGACAATAAATAAAGGAATAGGGATGGCCAAGCGGTGTTTTACTGAGAGCAGCATACTCCAAGGTGTTCCCCTGCCTGAACAATTTAGAGATGTAAGATCAGCAGAGAAAAATTCATTTTCTTACTGAATATTCACCCCACTGATAACTGTGTGTTTGTGAAAAGACCTTTCAACTTCCTGTTTATTTTACTCTAGTAGTCTTGATCCAGGATAAAGGTGTTTTTTTTTTTTAAAGATTTATTTATTTATGCATACAAGAACTGGGGTACAGTCAGAGGTGTGGGGGGTGAGAGGGCTCACCAGAGACAGAGTGGGGAGTAGAACAGGCAGATTGACTGAAATACACTGCTGAGGGGAGCAGCGGGCGAGCCAGGAGATGTCTGCTGCGCCATGTTGGTTGCTCTCTGGCCAGGGATTGAACTTGTGCTACAGTGGCTGCGGACAGTCTCATAGGTTGTGTCTCAACCTCTTGCGCCACCAGGGAGGCCCCAGGATAAAGGTTTTGAAGAAGGATTTTAATTAGAATTCACTTAAGAGCATTTCCAGAAACAATAAGACATAGACACACAGTAACTATTTTAAATTCTTTCTTTTGACACTGCTGAAAAAAAAAAAATCAAGCTCAACATATTTCAGGCAATATTGTCAAACTACCTTGTATTATTTTATTTTTTATTTTATTTTATTTTTTTTTTAGAGGCATGTTATTTATTTATTTATTTATTTGTTTGTTTGTTTGTTTGTTTGTTTGTTCGTTTGTTTATACATGCATTGGGTACAGTCAGAAGCGCGGGAGGGTGAGAGAATTCACCAGAGCCAGAGCAGGGAGCAGAGCAGGCAGAAGGACCGAAGCACACTGCTGAGGGGAGCAGCGGGCAGCAGGAGAGGTCTGCGCGCCATGTGGGACCCTCCTCCAGTGGCCGGGGAGCAGCCGGGGATCGAACCAGCGCCGCAGAGGCCGCGGGCAGCTTCGCAACCCAGCGCTCAACCGCTGCGCCACCGGGGAGGCCCCTACCTTGTATTATTTGAAGGTGCCTTTTTTTTTTGTAGGTTGAATACTTTATTTTTTAATTATCTTTTTACATTTTATTTTTTTAATATTTTATTTTATATAATTCTTACATCATTTTTCATTTTTGCACTATGTATGCATTTTCATTTTGGTTATATTCCCCATATAATTGCACCCCCCCCTTATTTTGACCCTAATCCTTCCTCTCCCCTCCACCCTCCCAAGGTGCCTTTTATGACCCTAATAAGGAGATGGTAAATGTTTGTTTGGTTATCAGCACAGTGTAACTTAGATTGCTCTGCAATTTTATCCCTGATTTTGAAATCTCAGTGTATTTTTTCTGGTCAAAAATGTTAAATATCTGACCTACCTCAACCATGTGTCATCACAGAAAGCCCACAAACAATAATGCTGAGGTGCTTGCCTGGCTGAAAAGCCTTTTCTGTCTTCAAGGATGAGGGGACCTTCTTTATAGAGAGAGCTACCAGCTTTGTGAGGACAGACC